CTCCCACTCCTCTCCTTCAAGGCAGGCATTGTTCATAGGTCATTTTCCAGGAAGCCCACACGTTTTCTCTCAGCAGCATTCACATTCAAACAGTGCTGCAAGTGACCTAGAAACAGGGGTGAACAAAGTTCCCCCAAAACATACCAACTGACCAGGCAGTGGGGCATCCAGCTCCTCCTGGCCTCTCCGGTGGCTCTGTACACCCAGCAGCACTGCCCCATGTGAGGATGACAGGTGACAGCAGGGACACAGCCCCTACTGGTGTGCTGAGCTCCTTCAGCAATTCACAAGACACACAAAACAGTGAGCTATCAGCCCACCTGGAATCTGCCCTCAAGCAGGTCCAGCACCTGGGTACAGACTCCCAACTCACTGTGCTTCTCCGCACAAATTCCCAGCTACGTCAGGGCAGGATTATGTTATTAATACCAACGAGTCATCCATGCATCCCTACAGATCTGCATGCACAGAACAGCTGAGTGCTAGCAGGCTCGGTGGGATCATCTGGCTTGGGGGAGTCGAAGCTTGCCAGCATATTTCATTCCTTTGTGCAAGGCTAGGAGTGGCCCCACAGCCAAAAGCCTCAGAAATAAAACCTTACCTCATCATTTTAAGGAATAAGCACTGGTTTGGTAGGAACCTGAAAAAACCAAACTCTTAGGACCATCTCACCTTGGGCAAGGTGGTTACCTCAGCTACTGGTACTGAAGTTTGCCAGGCTGGTTCTCTGCTGACAAGTCAGAAAGACAGAAGGGAATAAACCCACTATACAGAGGCAAAAAAGATATGCAAACCGAATGCTGCTTTTGCATAAATCCAAACACAAGCCAGAGACTAAATCCACAATTCCTGTGGGTGTGACACACAGAGAACACCTCGCTAGAATAACCTAAGAAAGTACAGTAGTTGGTTTTTAACTCAGACTCGTGGCAAGCAATGCAAAGATCTATAGCCAAGACTATGGGTTTGCTCTTTTTAAAGCTGATCAATCACATTTCACTGTATTTGTGAGCTAATACTTGACCAGTCACAACTGGGAGGCAATTTTATACTCTTTCCAAAATCTGGGATTGGGTAAGATTGTGCTTACAAGGGCTATGTATCATGCTGTAGCTACTGGAAACCCTCCTAAGCTCAGTCAGCTGTGTGCTTGGGACACTTGAATGCACTGAATTTAAATGACAGTGCAGTCTTCCAACTCACATAGCCTTCTAATAACATTTGTTAATCCAAGCAAATATCAAGGAATCTGGTCAGTGCCAGTGCTGAATCTGCTAAGTGTGTGAGCAGCTTGCGAAATCCCTAATGGGTTGTGTCAAGAGGTTTCTGTCATTGCTGTCTCTGGGACCCAAATCCACCCTGGAACTGGAACCTTGCTGACTGTATTTAGGGAATATTGCAAGGTTTCTTGAAGAGTCCAAGAATTCAATAAAATCATGTAGTGTGACAGATTCGTGTTTGAATAACGTTCTTCTACCGTGTACTTTTAAATGTGAGATGTAAGCCTGTTGTAATTAAAGTTGAAGCAATAAACCTTAGCCATTGATTGCACTAAGTAATTAATTATTGATTGCAGTACTTTACATACATATTGCAGAGGACAATTCACCTGTGCAGTATACAATACTTTGCTCAGAAATACCCAAACACAGCCCCTCAGCGATTCAGAACTATACAAAAATTGTCTCCGGGGTTTACAAGTTAATTTCCTTATTAACCTCCACGGAAATGTTGCTGTGGAGTGAAAGCAAGTCATTACTTTTATAAAGACAACGTTAACTCTTCCCTATCCAAATTAATTTTGCTAATAGGGATTCAGAGATGCAAAAGAGTGGAGCTTTCTCTGTGAGACTCTGAAGGTGTTAAGTTCCTCCTGAACAACTGCTGCCATCCCCTGCACGTACCAATTCCTGACAAGCCAAGCTCCAGTAAGACCCCAACAGAGCAGCAACAGTGGCAATATCCTTCCCTAACTCCCGGGGAAAGAAAAGAGAGAGGACTTTGAGGTGTGAAAACGGGAAGCATTAACTAGGCAGAGCATACATGGAGATGTAGGACTAGTTAAGCAGCTTTTAGTCTAGAGGTGTGCATCAGGTGGGAACATTTTTCCACATCTACACTGAACTTAAGGAGAGCCTCTCCCTTATGAAAAGCCAAAGATAAAGACATTTGTTGGTTTAAAAACACATTTTAAAATTAATAATAGTGCGAGGACACTAAAATTAAGCTGAAATGGACATGAACCTGCAGATTGTTTGACTGGATGTGTCCTCCAGCTCCTGTACTAGGAAATGACAAGGAAAGTTGTGTTGGGGTGGGTGTACTGTGCAGGAGGTGTGATGGGAAGGGCAGGCCAGTGAGTGTTGAGTGGGCCAGGAGGGGGGATTGTACCTGAAGTCGCTGTAGGGATGGATGATCCAGAACCCGGCAGACTTAACCCTTTCCTGCTCCCTCTCCACGGCCTTCTGGCTGCCAAACATCCTCAAGGAGAATTTGTTGACCCCTGGCTGGAGCATGGCCCCGAACTGCCTCTGCATGAAACCGGCTTGGCCCAGCCTCTGCTCCTCATCTGGGGTGATCTGGTCGCACCCTCCACCTCCCTCCACCTTGATGGAGGAAGAGGAGCAGGCCCGGAGGGGCTGCTGCTGGGGCTCCGGAGGGGACGCCGGGGGCAGGGGCGCCGGC